GCAATTAAGGACCGACTTTCATTACTGCTCCATGCACCCACGATATTAATATGACTAACCTACCTATTACTACAAATCAACACGAGTCACGAAACTCCACGTGTCGTCTTAATAATCGTTTGGTTGTGTCATTCTCCGTCAAATCAAACCTCCGTTAATCCTTGAGCCAATAAACCATTAAAACGTAATTCCACCCCATTTATCTCTCTTCACCTGCTCCACTTAGGTCTTGTTAATCCGAACCTCCACGTTCGGATTCCAAACCTATCAACAGTCCAGATCAATGCCTTCCATTTAGAGGTCCTGATTAAATCTAACGTGTACGCTCTCTATTTAGCCGCAAAAAGGAACCAGCATCAGAAAGAACGCTCAAAATCTTCATTTCTCAGTTTTTTCCGGGTTTTTTTCCCCTTTTTGGATCTTCCAAACATTTTCAAAAATGGCTGAGCACGAAGAGAAGAAGCACGAGGAATCGTTTATGGAGAAGATTGCAGATAAGATCCACGGCCATGATTCGTCGTCGGATTCCGATGACGACAAACCATCAGAATCGTCGAACAAGGCCAAGGTCTTCCGTTTTTTTGGACGAGAAAAGCCCGTTCACCACGTTCTCGGTGGAGGCAAACGTAACTAATAAAATCACCTTTATTCGTTTTTCAAATTTGTCTGTTGATGCTAGTATCAATATTGATTATAAGAAAATTGTTAAGACTGTGCTATGAAGATAGAAAAGCTTCTCTTAAGCATCAGCTTTTTAGCCAATATCAGTCTCTAGAAAACATCGTAGACTTTGTTGAGGGAAATACAGAGCACCGATGCCATTGTTGGTGAATCAACTTTATTGATGCACGCTCTATGGGGAATGCTTCACTGTTCACTTTTTTATTTTATTTTTAATTCCTGATCCTTCAGTTTTGATTAACTGATGTTGTTTGAGCTTAATTTTGTTTTGATCTGTTAATTGTTTGTTTAGAATAAAAATAGATATTAAGGGTACTTGTAGATCTTCAACTGGACTGATCAGTGATGCAATTACTTCTGGTGAAATTTACTTTATATCAGCGGAAATTTCTGAGATGATCTTGTTCTCTTTAAAGTTTGAGAACGTATTTGTATTCATCCTCAATAACCTTAACCGATGATAATAATTGATATTTGTTGAGTTAGTATTATCAGCAATTATTACCTTTTTAGTGTGATTTGTTTATGATGGATGATTGCGTACTGAAACTGGGTTTATGTGTAACAGCGGCTGACATTTTCCTGTGGAGGAACAAAAAGATATCAGCAGGAGCGCTTGGTGTTGCAACTGTGATATGGGTTTTGTTTGAATTGCTCGAATATCACCTTCTTACTCTAGTGTGTCACTTATTGATACTGGCTCTCACGCTACTTTTCTTGTGGTCAAATGCTATGACCTTCATCAACAAGTAAGCAGTCAAATTTGTTGTCTTCTTTTTTGGGTTAACTTTGGATTCTGTTTTCTTTTTAGTCACGGCAATGTTATATTGTTTTGAATAGGTCTCCACCGAACTTCCCCGAGGTTCAAATTCCTAAAGACCCGGTTATGGAGTTTGCACAAGCACTTAGGTTTGAGATTAATCATGCTTTTGTTGTCCTACGGGATATTGCATCGGGAAGAGAACTGAAGAAGTTCCTATCTGTATGTAGTTTACCTGTGCCACATAGTTATCTTTTTTGGTTGATCACATGCAATTATTCATCCGATTTGCAATTAAGATAGTGATAAGATGTTGCATGGTTTGTCATTTTCAATCATTTTATTCTTATGATGATTGCTATTATGCATTTAAGAATCATATTGAAATGGGGCTGTGATTCTTTAGGTTATTGCCGGCTTGTGGGTCTTGTCTATTGTGGGAAATTGGTGCAACTTCTTGACACTATTCTACATAGGTATTGCAGTTTCCTTAGTTGCTTTTTTCCCCATTCCTGATAAGCATTTTGGTTTCCTGATTTTTGCTTAAATGGTCTTGCAAAGCAGTCTTCGTTCTACTTCACACTGTACCTGTGCTGTATGAGAAATACGAGGACAAGGTGGACCCGTTTGCTGAGAAAGCAATGCATGAGATCAAGAAGCAATATGCAGTGTTTGATGAAAAAGTTTTAAGTAAGATTCCGAGGGGACCTTTAAAGGAAAAGAAGAAGGATTAGAAGGCCAAGATGTTCTTTTGATAGGTTTCTGACATACATTTGGTAGTTGCCTTCCATGAAATGTGTTTTTTACTATATATGATGTATCGGTTAGAACCCCGTTTTAATCCCTTATTTTCACAGTAAATGGGATCATTATGTTGGTGAATATTGCATCTTTTTTCGAAATCTTGTTATTCCTATGGATCCATTTACTATATGACAATATGTTACCATGTTGCATGTTGGTTAGGGTCCATTGGGTTGAAACTTTCCCTTGTGATTGTTGATTGATTGACCATTGTTATCAAAATGTTGTTGCTTTTACGATAATTTCACTAGAATGATGCCAAATGTTTGTTGATTGATTGGATGTAAATTGGGGATGATCGGATGACTAATGATAGTAATAAGTTGCAAGTGTCTGAGCCTAAGTTGGGTAAGCCCAATTCGTTGCAAATAGTTGGGTAGTTGTTAGTTGACCTACATTAGTCAAACATTGTTAGTGTATTAAAGGGATACGATGGCATCTGATGTTGTAATCGGATTTTCTAAAGAAATAAACTCGCGAACCTTTTCCTTCTCTTCTGAAATCTCCATCCCTTCTAATCATTACAATTGGTAATCAGAGCCTATTCTTGATCCAACCTCAAGCTGGGTAAACAGAAAAAAACATGATGAAAATTAAACCTCTATTTCCAGAAACGAGCAGCGGAGAACCATCCAAGACTACACCGAAATGGTAGGAAGAACAGAAAACCAGTTAGGAAAACAGGCTCAGCATTTTAGAAGCCAGATCAGAAGAAACCAGGGAATATCTTCAAAGAATCTTGAATCTAATGGCCAAGAACGCTATAGAAACGGAACAGATAACTTCCATGAATGATCAGCAAAAGAAACGGAGCAGATAACTTCCATGAGCAATCAGCAGAATTTGGAACAAACCCATGCCAAAACAGAAGACTTACTAGACTCTCAATTCAAGACCTGTGGTGTTTTTAATCAAATTTTGTCTTCTCGTTATGTGCAACAAAAGATGCTTCAAGAGGGTCTTGACAAGTTATCCACTTTAACCGCTCCAAACATAGTGGGGTTTCCGACTCGAGATAAATCTCATTCTCTTTCTGATTTTCCTTCTGATTCAAGTGTTTCTGGTCTCCCTAAATTGACTCCAATTCAGATGACTCATGAAAGGCAAATTACTAAGGAGAAAAGAATGAGCCAACCTTCACTGGGTGGTTCTAAACCTTTCTTCTTCCCTCCTAAAATGGTGTTATCTGCATCACTAGAAGGCATAAATGATGTTTCTCAAGTGTTCGATAAAACAGCAAAAGTAGCCGCTGTTACACTTCCATCCATCACCGACAACATGAAAGTTGATTCTCTTTCAAAGGCAAATGTGGTTCATTTTATATTGTGTCGAACAACTGATAACTCAAATAACTTGGATTATCTTGTTCCATTGGTGTTTCAAGGAATTTATTCCATAATATTTAGGTATGTCAATGAACATGTTAAAATCTTTGATCCTTGTGTGTTTCGACTTTTGTTGATGGGATGGAATATGATTCAGTTTGCTAGGAGTTTGGGTGTGATTAAAAGTGAGATTAGTTCACTCAAGTGCCTCTTTGAATCTTAGTTGGCTCCATCTATAGCTCATGGTGGTGACGATGGAAAAGGAACAAAAAGTTTCTCGGCTTGAAGGCGGCGGAGAGATGAAGGTATGGTGCATCAATGACAATTCCAGGACGTTGTTGAAAAAAGAGTATACTGGTAAATTCTATTGTGGAGACTACTAAATTATGCTTTATACATACCACACAGGTGAGAGGAAAGATGACTACATTCTGAATTTACGGTGTTACGGATTATCCGGAGGCATGGATGCAATTGCTAGCACGGGTAGAGTATTGGTATAACAATTCTTACCAAACTTCAGCTCGAAATACTCCTTTTAAAGTTAGTTATGGGCATCCTCATTTAATTCTCATGAGTTACATTCATGACTCCACTGGGAATTCTTTTTGGACACCATTTTGTTTCAACTAAAAAAGGCTCTATCTTGTCTTAGACTCATTTTGTTTATATGCAAAATTTAGCTGATAAATGTGGGCATGAATTTACTTTTGATAAAGGGGTTGGTGGAATATTAACTTGCAGACTTATCAACTTTCTTTTCTGCACCTACAATATCATCATAATCATGGACATCGCTACTTCGCCGCTACTGGTCTTTGGATACACGACAAGACAATCAAAAAATCATTGGGTGAAGCAATGGCTAATTTGTTCGGATGGACTTTCTTCTTATGCAATTTGGGATGATTTCACGGTGTTGTTATCAGAAATTTCGGACTTTGATCCTTGGGGATAAGGATCGTTTTAGGGGTGGGGGGAATTGTCATGACAATTGGGGAATTAGGGATTGGATGTAAATTGGGGATGATCTGATGACTAATGATAATAATAATTTGTAAGAGTTTGAACGGCGCCGCATTAGTAATTGAGGGTAGTGGGTCAGCAAGTTAGAGTAAGGCGAGCCTAAGTTGGGTAAGCCCAATTCGTTATAAATAGTTGGGTAGTTGTTAGTTGACCTGCATTAGTCAAACATTGTTGGTGTAAAGGGATACGATGGCATCTGATGTTGTAATTGAATTTTCTAAAGAAATAAAGTCTCAACCTTTACCTTTCTTCTCTTCTGAAATCTCCATCCCTTCTAATCATTACAGTTTGCACAATTTGCCAAGACCACTCTATCGTATACAATGATGCAAGAGATCTTTGATTCTTCCTACCGGTCGATTATTCAGATGGATAATTGGGGCAAAGCAAAGCAAAACAAACGCGCAAACCACTAATAATTTTAGAAAACGATAACTGTTTCTCGATTCCAGGTGGTGAAACTGAGTTCACGTGTGATTGTCATCATAACAAAGAAAATATGCATCAAAAACCCACTGTGATTGTCGTCATAACAAAGAAAATATGCATCAACGACTCGGTGGAACAGCAGATAAGCAAGCTACATTCGGGATTTACTTGCGTCGTCGGTTATTGGCCAACTCCGGGTTGCCTTTTCTCATCATCGCAACAAACTCATCATAGTTGATTCCGCCATCCTGCAGGAAGAACATGGTACATCGATTGTGAAGATTCAATCACAACGCTGAAGAAAAACAAGTTTCTAAAGAGGAGGAAGCATACCCTGTCTGTGTCAACTTCTGCAATGATCTCTTTTATTGTTTTCTCATCACCCATATTATACTTCTTCAGGGCCTGCTCTAGCTCTTCCATTGTAATGTACCTAAATTGAGTAGTAAACAAGTTGAATCATTGCCATAGCGTATGGCTGGGGAATGAGAATTACACAAAACAGTTATATAAATAAACAATACGGTAATGTGGCTTACCCGCTATTGTCCTTGTCGAAGTATTGGAAAGCAGTGTACAAGTGTTCTTCTCTTTCCATTCTATTCATATGCATAGTTGCTGTTATAAACTCGATGTAATCAATCGTTCCGTTTCCATCCACATCAGCCTGGGGAAGTAACAAACAGGTTATATAATAATATAGCTAAGTTATAAAGGATGATATAACGAGATCTTTACACATTTTAAATATTTCAGGTACAACTCCGAGAAAAAGAATTCATGGACCTTCTTTTAATAGGTTCTCATCTGTCATTAACATTCCAGTTGAAAGCATGCTAATCAAGAAATAGCAAATCATTTGACAGGCCAATGATAATCATGCAGGATGAATATAAAAGGGCAGGGCATACCGCTTCCATTAACTGCCTCACTTCATGCTCAGAAAGCTTAGTACCGAGTTTAGGAAGGCCAGCTTTCAACTCCTCAAACGTGATTGTTCCACTGTTATCAGTGTCCATAGATTTGAACATCTCCTTCAAACCTATGATTTCCTCTTCAGATAAATTTTCTGCAATTACCTGAAAGGAGAGAAGGAAAGAATAATCAATAACGATGATGAATGCATTGCCACATCGCTGCCATCGACCAATAGCCTGAAATAGACTAGTCTTTGGTACTACAGAACACCTCATTGCTAATTCCCCATTATATTATATTCTTTTCAGTTTCTTAAATTTTTAGCTTATTAATATTTCATAATGTAACAGAGAAAGCAATTCACCTTTAAAGCAACTTTTTTGAGTTTGTTCATTGCCCTGAATTGCTTCATTCTAGATAAAACAGCAATATCAAGAGGCTTATCAGATGCATCACCATCTTCACGCATCCATGGATGATCTGCAGTGCAATTGGGAAGAGAAGCTCTACTTTTTTTACATAATTTACAAGAAACATCAAGCAAAATAAGAAACAATGGGAAAAAACTCAAATTTTGAATTGGATAGCCAACTTGATAGATTCAAATTCAAGGCTTTTAACTTCCTTATCCTTCACAACAGAACACAACCACCATCAACTTGCAAAAGGCTAATCGGTTCATAGGTCCTTTCAATTAAGAAGGGGAAAGGGAAAAAAGACTTACTTAAGACTTCAACTGCTGAAAGCCGTTCCTTAGGATCATTTTGTAGCATCTTCCTCACAAGATCTTTGGCACTGCTGGAAACAGAGGGCCATGGATCTGATGAGAAATCGATATTTCCCCGAAGAATAGAATCAAAGATATTCTGTTCAGTTTCTGCATGCAAAACCAAAAGCATAGATGAGAGACCATCTCACTCATCCACAAAGCGTCTGACTCCTAAAGAAGGATATGGTTGTACAAAATTATTGTGAGGATCTTCTAATCATCACAAGAAACAACAGTAGTACCTCCGTAGAATGGTGGGACCCCACTAAGGAGAATGTAAAGAATCACCCCAGCACTCCAAATATCGGCTTCATGTCCATATCGACGGCGCAATATTTCTGGAGCTACATAATAAGCACTTCCAACAAGATCCTTAAAAACATCACCTGCATGCATCAGTAAAGAAATTTTCTAGTTGATATTCATCATCAACAAGTCTTCATAAGTAAATTTGAGGAGAAAAAGTAACCATCTTGGCCTACATTACTCAGATAAATAGCTGACAAAAGATGACATTTTTATATTAACTTTAAATAGTAACGATTTGTTGTAAAACATCTAAGAAAGAAAACGATGTGAAGATTTTCATTAAGTTGTTGATGACTGACTGTAGCTACAATAACTGTCCAGCATAATATGCTTTCCAGTTCTCTTTGACATTATCTCTACTTGTTTTACATTACACTACAGAATAAACACAAAAGGTCATTAAAGCAAAATACTTCCCGAATTCATCATTTTTTGAGGCAAGGCTGGGGGCTAATTTTTCTTATGCTTGGGCCAGTCTTATGAAGGCTAAAGAAGAACTCAAGGATGGTTTTTTCTGGAAGAGTGGGTATTGATAGCGGGATTAGAATGTTCGAGGAGAATTGGGGGGATGCTTGCCCTATAGAATGGGGAGAAAGATATGTGGATAATGCTGCTCGACCGGTTCGGGTTGTGGAATTCATGATTCCTGGGTGTGCTAGGTGGGATATGGATAAGGTGCAAGGAGTGCTTCGGACGGCAGATGCTGAGAAAGTTCTCAAGACGCTAATTGCTCCAGTCAGAGGGGATCGAATTCTGTGGAATCATCATGGTTCGGGGTTCTATTCCGCTAAATCGGGTTATAATTGGTTGATGCTTCGTAGCAGTCCGACCTTGGTGGTGGATGGTATTTGGAACAGAGTTGCAAGAGCTCGGGTTCTTCCAAAGATTAGAATCTTTGGATGGCGTATTTGTCATGAGGCCATCCCTGTGGGTGCTAAATTGGTTCAAGCGAATATTGGAGATGGGGTTTGCCCGTTGTGTAATTTGGATTTGGAAACCATTTTGCATGCCATCAAAGATTGTCCCAAAGTTAGGTCGGTTCTGGTTTTATCGGGGCTTTCCCAGGTGATTGTTGACTGGAGTGGGTCTTCTCCCCTTTCTTGGTTGGTCTTTGCCCATTCCAAAATTATTTAATGAAGGTTTTGATCTTTTCCTGGCATTATTATGGAATATTTGGAATCGGCGAAATGACGTGGTGCATAACGGGGAAATGCAATCGGACAGGGACGTTATTGTTTGTTCTTCGAGTTTGATCGGGGAGTATCATAAAGTGGCGAAGGTGGATGCGTTTGCTAGGGATGAGGTTGTTATAAGTCGTCATCGGGGTTGGCTAAAACCGGGGCAGGATGAAGTTAAAATTAATGTGGATGGGGCTTTTTGCAAGGATGCTAGGATCGCGGCTATTGGGGTTGTGGCTAGGGATTCCCATGGTATGGTGATTGCGGGTCTCGCGAAGAAGATTAATCCTTCGTTTTCGGCAGAGTCTGCTGAAGTTGCTGCGTTTACAGAAGGTATTAAGTTGGCGTCTGAGAATGGGTGGAATAGAGTTGTGATTGAAGGTGATGCTATCTCGATTGTCAATAGACTGGCTAATAAGAGAACGGGGAAGATTCAGGATTTATCTACGATTGGATTGCTGCTCAATGAAGCTAGACCAATGTTGGTTAGGTTTCCTACCTTTAAAGTTCATTATGCATGTAGGGATGCTAATCGAGCTGCTCACTCCCTTGCGCATTGGGTTTTATCGAACATCAATCCAATTTGGTTTTATTTTGATGAACCTGAATGTATTAAACAAGTTGTAATTGATGATGCGATTGGAATATAATGATCTTTCACTTCAAAAAAAAAAAAAAAGTTTCAACCATGTAACTCCAACTAGCCTTACTAGGATAGAAATTTAGCATCCCTGCTTTTTATCATCGATAAATCTTTTGATCGCATTTTCATAGCACTAGTAGTAATCATAAGTTCCGTCTCAACAAAATCAAACAGATTCAAATCAGAGAAACCAAAATTGCTTACCTGGCTTAAAAAATACAGAGAGGCCGAAATCCGTGGCCTTCAATGGAGAATCCTCGGCCTTACTTAAGAACAAGAAATTCTCGGGCTTTAAGTCCCTATGCATAACCCCCATGGAATGACAGTTATGCACCACCGTCACCATCTGCCGGCACAAATTCGCCGCCTCCCTCTCTGAATAATGACCTTTCGCTATAATACGGTCAAACAACTCCCCTCCCGCACAAAGCTCCATTATCAGATGCACGAAGTGCCGGTCCTCATAAGCCCCATTCAGCTCCACGATATTTCTGTTAGACCCGTTAAAATCATTAAGACAACTATATCTATGACAAAATCAGGTAATATAATATAATAGTTTTGTTTTGGTGGGGAAACCTGTGGCCGGTGAGGTGGTACATGATCTGGACTTCACGGCGGACGTCTTCGATATCATCATGATTGACAAGCTTATGGGTGGCGATAGATTTACAAGCGAATTGCTGCTTGGTTTCTTTATGAGTCACCAAGTAGGTAACACCGAACTGTCCACGCCCGAGCTCACGACCGAAGTCGTAAGTTGACCGAACATCCTCCATGGGACGGCCGAGCACACGACCGATCCGCGGAGCAGTGGAGGTAGCTTTGTGGTTGTTGGGGGCAGCGGAGGACGACTGGTGGAGGGTTGGAGGTTTTGGGGGTCTTGGAGCCGATTCATCAGCAGGTATGACATTGATGTCATGGTGAGGATTACCGCCGGAGTTGGTGGCCGGTCGGGACTGGTTACCGGCGGAAGGAGCACCATTACAGTTACCCATTCTTCTAAAAAATTGAAAATGGACCAATTTCCTTTACTAGGTCAAATGTGAGCCAAGCGAGTTAGGAGGGTGTAAGAGGAAAGTTACAAATGAAGTTTTTTCTTTTGTTTTTTAGTTTGTCCGAAACTGTTAGTGCGCCTGTTTTGCCGAGTAGCAGTTCCCTGCTTTGGTTTAACTATGATGGCAGTTCCTGTACTATTTTTAAATTTTGAAATCTGGTCTGGGAAAAGAGGAAGTTTCTCTTTGGCCAAACAGCTCAAATTGAGGAAGTGTCACGGACACGGAGAATGAAAAACAGGTAGTATAAAAGAAGTTGAAATCGAACGCGGAGACGGCGTAGTGTTGGGACACAAATAGGGTTAAGAGGAAGACGCAACATGACTTCACTACAAGAGATCTCATGTCTGATGAACAGAGAGGTTGCTTGATTGAGGCTTGTGTTGGATGGAACCAACTCCCTTCCCATGTCTATATATAGGGCAAAATTTTCATGTAAAAGCAGCTTGATTGAGGCTTCATTCATGACTTAACATTTCTTGATGTGCACACCTAAAAGCAGCTTAGATACAGATAAGAAAAAGGCAGTAGTGGTTAAAGTAGGGATGGACATAGACAAGAAATGATTGCACGAGCCACTTACTATTCAGCAACATGGGGGCATGGAGCGAAATCCTCATAGGTGGGAAGTAAAAGAGTGCTCCTACTCCCAGGATCTTTTTCGAAGAGCGAAATCCACTAAGTTTATCATCTAAGACGACATTATTATTCCTATTTAAATATTATAATAAACTATACTCTCACGTTTTTTATATGAATGTTTATTCATTATTAATGTAAAAAATAAATAGTAGTTCAAATTTTATTTAGTTTAGTTTAATAATAAATTTCATTGTACGAACTTAATAAAGAATTAAAATTAGGAGAAATAAAGATTTATAATAGATGTAATCATGTAAAGACTATCGAGTGTAGGCCGGTAAACGAATCGAACGAACACGAATGAGCATATGTTCATGTTCGTTCATTTAACTTTAATCGAACAAACGAACGAACACGAACAACTAAACGAACGAGATTTCTTGTTTGTGTTCATTCATTAAGAAATTTAGCTTTTTTTTGTGTTCGTGTTCGTTAATTAAAAGTATAAACGAACGTAAATGAATAAACGTGAACAAACATAAACGAACGTGAATAAATATAAAATTAATTGGATTTATACTTGAGAAGAATTTTTCTTTTTAAATAATTTTAAAATTTATATTTTCTTTAATTAATTTGAGCATTTTTATTTGGGTTTAAAATTAATTGGATTTTAAAATATTAATGAGTTTAAGGTTAAAATTTATTATACCTTAATTTTTCAAACGGGTCTAGAGATTGGGTTGAATATAAACAAACGAAAATAAAACGAACGTAATACCAAACGTTCACAAACATAAATGAATGAATGAACTCTTTGTTCGCATACTAAAATATTGTTCATGTTCGTTCGCTTAATAAAAGAACGAACATCAACGAATTTCCCGCCGAGCAATTCACTAAACGTTCGATTCGTTTACATGCCTAATCAAGTCTACTATCAAGCATTTACCCCAAAACTGTGCAACAACCTGGTAAGCCAACCTAAGGTCTGGAATGCAGCAACATAATCAAACTCGCAATATCTCTTAAAACCTCCCACTTCCAGTAAATGGACACCAAAAGCACTCTCGGTGACATCGCCAGTTTTCAGCTAACTGAAAACATGGTTTCATTCCTTTATCCTGTTTATGAGACAGCTCAATCCTTTACCATACTTAATATTTCTACCAAGGTTACTTTAGATTCAAGACATTACACGGGCATTTCACATTTCAGTAAGAAAAACACAAATCAAAGTCGAAAAGCACTTCCATGTGCAATGAATTTTCTTCATGATAAAAATTGTATATGAAAACATTGCCAATTAAAAAGAACAAAAACAAAGAACTGAATTCACTGAAAACCATTCAAAGAAAGGTTGATAATGATAATAAAACTTAAGTCTTTCAAAAGCAAGGCTACACGACAAGAATAGTTCTCCTCGATATTTAAATCAGTCAAGCTCCTAGTGAAGGCAAGACTTCTCCAAATCCATGCCATGTTACAAAGAAACTCACCAGAACCGAGTTTGACTGCTATAGGTGCTTTTCAAAGAATATCAAAATGCTGCTTCTCATATACTCTCAACAGAACCCTGTTCTCATAATTGGAGGTTCCTCACCTCAATACCTACTGAATATTAACAAATTGCAACAGCATGGATTTCATGGGAAACGACACTGCTATCCACTCACATCCTTGTTACGAAGCCTATAAACTATTCGCCCCTTGGTTGAATCATAAGGACTCATTTCAACTCTAACTCTATCTCCAGGCAATACACGTACAAAATTCTTCCGTATCTTTCCCGAAAGATAACCTATAATTAAATCCTTATTGTCCAAAAGGACTCGAAACATACCATTGGAAAGTGACACGGTAATTAAACCTTCATGAACAAACTTCTTGTCTCCCTGCTTCGCCGCAGTTTTTTCAAATTTACTTTTGACTACCCTATCAGTTTCAGGGCCCGTTGAGCTTGCTTTCCTGCAAGTTATCGTTCTTGTTGACATCTTACTCGGATTGAATCTTACCCAGCCACTGTAAAACAAAATGAGACTAAAAAGTGTTAGGTTTTCATTGTTTCCAACCAAGCAGTATTTCAAGGTTCAAACTTTAGAAATCGCAACATCCTTGATGACGAAATGGTTATCTAAGATATCAGTTTTTTCATGAATCATCATACAAATCATTCCATATGGGGTTGGATTAAAAAGAAGAAAACTTTGCACAAATTAAGACTTGATTATTAGATTAAAGCAGCAATTAAACACAAAATTAGAAGAGCGAGACACAGAAACAAACTTCGAAATTCAAAACCAAATCAAACCCATATTATATACGGCAGAACCCAGAAGTAATATAAAGTAAATCTTAGAAATTGGTGTTTGACAGTGAACATAAAGAAGTAAAAAATTGACAAAAATGAATCATATAATTATGAATAATTTACACAAAGATGATGGCTTACTTGATGAAAAAGTAAGTGGGAACCTTATGTTGGCGGGGAAGAAAGAGAGAGGAGAATGGAGAGTGAAGATTGGAGCAGAGGGAAGCCATGATTTCTAAACCCTAAGCTCACACTGTAAAGCGGGAATGAATTGGCTTTCAATCCTCTAGCTTAAAACAGATGCTATGTTATCCGATCAGAGTTATCCGTACGACAAGGCCTATCATTTTAAGTTGCGCTAATTGATCAATCAAAGAAGAATTGTATAATAAAAAAAAATGTTCAAATTATATTTTTATTTTGTTTTAAACATTTAAAGTTTCTTTTTCTTTTTTTTAATCTAAGGTAAAAATAAAGTAGTATTTGTTCTAAATACTCTTAACCATTTAACAATAAACGTTCAATCAACTTGCTACAGCAGTTGATACTCGATCTCGTAATCTCTAAGAACAACAACGATTTATTTAACTACCGAAGAAAATTTGTTTGTGCTACATTTAAATTTTTTTAATTAAAATAAATATTTAATATTTCATTTCATTTATAATACATAAAAAATAACCAAATAATTGCATGACCTAATTTTTAATCATCTTTCTTTTTTTAAAATATAATTAATTATAAAATAAATGTTCAAACTATATCGTTTTTTATCGAATTGGTGTTCAGACTTTTTTAAATTATCTAGGTGTCTAACGTTACAAACATTATCATTTGAGGTGCCTGAGATATAACAACCGTTAAAAATTCCGTTAAGTAACACATGTCACGCTTTTGTAATTTTGAAAATTTTAAAAAATTAAAAAACTATTATATTTTAAAAACCCATTTTTTCTAATATTAAAAAAAGACTAAAAAAACCCTAATCCTAGCACTAACTCTAACCTCCCTTGTCGGCAATTACCGCATCGTTGGCGCAACCCTTGTCATATCTCCTCACCATCGTACGTTTCGTTTGATCGTCTGGGTATAGCGAATTTGGGGGTTTGAGTTTGCTAGAGATGAGGTTTTAGGTCGCGATTTTGTCGTTTCCTTCGTCGGAGACACGACGTTTATGGTCAGGTTTGACTTGTCATAGGGTGGAGGTTTTGGTGGAGGCCTGATCGACGTCAAATGGCGAAGGCCAACGTGGATTTAGGGATTAAAATTGGAGTTTCCAAAGTTTTGAGTTTTTTTAATTTTTCAAAATTGTTGGGTTTTTAATTTTTTTTGTTTTAAGTAAAATTTTAAAATTACCATAATGTGACATGTGTCATTTAATGGTGGAATTTAACGGCCAAACACCTAAAGTGGAAACGTTTGTAGTGTTAGGCACCTGGATGATTCAAAAATAAAGTTTGAACACCTATTTGGGAAAAGTGATATAGTTTGAACACTTATTTGATAATTAATCCTTTAAATTACCTAAATTTAGCTTTTTGTTTTCCATTTCTGTTTTTTTCATGGAAAGCAAAACAAATAGACTGAACAGTCCTTGTTCTGATTAATCCATACTGGATTTGTAATGGTAAAAGTTAGGAATCAGTCGGTTGAATTTTGGTTGTCCAACAAATTCTTACAGTTTAAACCTTTCTTCGGTCTTCCATGTGTGCTTCCATGGAAGATCGATCACAGTAAAAAGTAAGAAGAACAGACAACATCAGAGTAATTCTATATGAAACCCTTTTGAAGGCCAAGGAGAAAAAGGGGAGAGAAATGAGACGTGAAGAAAGCAGAAAAGGAGGAAAATTTGTGGGGTAATTTCAATTCCCTTTCTTTTGTGCCATACTCTACATTTGTCTTTGTATTGTTGTACCCGTCCCGCATGTTAATTTTGTTTTCAAAGGATGTTTTTTTTCTCCTTTTGGCTATTAGTTGTTGAGATTTATTTTGATCGATTTATAATTTTTGGTCTTTATATTTGGCAAATGAGGACCTGATTCGACTTTTTTTTTTCAATGCTTCTGTTGGTCCATGGGTGTTTCTTGTCTGTTGGGGGAAGAATCGGTGAGTCGCGTTATATGCTCAATATCTATAAAACTTTTGTAACATCCTAATCCGATAAGACACA